ATTCAGAGCACAATTAGGTGACAGCCAATTATATGTGGACAAACCTTCCAAAGGTCAGGGAGCATAGCACTGTGTAACCTTGCACTGTAAATGTGAGAGCACCTGCAACTGTGAAAATGGCTGTATGTTCAGGTACAGATATTTATTGTAGTTTTAATACATCTCCAACTGAACAATGACTCTCAAAGCAGACATGGAAAGTTTTTTTTTTTTTTTTTTTAAACCAGTTAGACCAAAGTTTCAGAAAGCCAGCTCTTTTATTAAGAGATGAATTTGTCTGGGAGACATAAAGTAATTAGTGTGACATGTTTGTATTGAATCACTGTGCAGACAGAAACTAGACGGTTTCTCAAGTATGACTCTGTTTCAGTCTTCAAACATTATGTGGACTGCAGTATTATATATCAAATCATGGAAAGCTTTTCTGCTGATGCTCACAGTAAAAGGACTGTGATTAGTCTGGGGGCAGTGTAGGACGTACTTCATCAGACTTCATCATACATTACAGTTGAGCTTAATTTCATTCAAACTTAAATTGCTGCTAATGTATAAATTAAATAATAAACCAGACCAAATAAACTTTTGTTTCTACATCACCATATGTTACATACTTTATTATTATTATCAAATTTCAGGTATGAGGTGTTTGAAAGAATCTGTGTTATAAAAGTAATTCATATATAGTATGTAGGATAAGGAGTGGTAGGTCACAGCCTTTGGGCAACTTTGCCCTGGAAAGCTGTATTACTTGAGTTCATTTCTTTGCTGTTAAAAATTGGACCTCAAATATCAGGTTTCTGAAAATGCACATTTGTCTACACCAAGCATCACTGAAACTGGAACTCTTTGCGATGTAAAAATCTACTAATGAATTTATTCATCATCTCCCAATCACAGGCACAAAATTTGGAATAATTGCATGGCTTTGTGCTTAAGGTTGTAGTTAGGGGCAGGGCTAGCAATCATACCTTTTCTTAGAACTTCATTTGTATGAAACTGAATGACATCCAAATACACTGTGCTCACATATTTGAGTTTATACATGTTCCATAATTTATGATCTATAATCTGTAGTAACACACTATCACAGCAGAAGTAAAACAAGGGTGTAGTTCTGGTTCCCTTAAAGACAATAGCTGATGTACCTCAGATAGCATCGGGTGTGAATAATATTTTTAGCTACCTCATGATCAGCTTTACTGTATATGTACTTTTGGCATGATGACACCTATGTATATGTACTTTTGACATGATGACACCTATGTATATGTACTTTTGGCATGATGACACCTATGTATATGTACTTTTGACATGATGACACCTGGGCTATTCCACCGCACTCTGCTTTGTTTTTAATGCTAACCTGCTGAGTCTTGTTCCTGTAATTTCACATGATCTTTGTTCTCAGTCATCTTGTGAAACATCATTGTTTTTATTGGTAGTGCCTTTATTGCTCGTAAAGTCCATCAAGCATCTGCATCTGACCTCTTGTATCTAAGTCTTTCCTCTGTATTACAAATAATGAGTGTTGTGCCGCTATAGGTACCGATGGTCCATATAGGCTACTGTATTAAACAACAAATATCTGACATGGGAGGTTTATCTTATAATAATCTACAGTTCAATGAATTACCACTAAATCATTACTGGCTGTTCTGTACAGTTTTCTAATCTTAAATAAGAAATTAAGTGAGTCACATTTACAGTGACCTACTGGCAAATTGGCCTCGTCAGCAGTTCGAGAAGAACAAGCCCTCAGGGTAGCGGAGGCATGAAGCCAAGCAACAAACCTTCTCCATCTTAACCTTTTTCCTCAAAGAAGTAGACTTCTGCTGAATATTGAGAACAGGGACACAAGACACAAACAAATGCACATACAAATACATGTTGTAGCCCATCACCGTCTCTCTCTCTCTCTCTCTCTCTCTCTCTCTCTCTCTCTGACACTTCATCTTCATTTTAACCTTTTCAGTAAGAGGAGCAGGGTGCAGCTGAATGCACACATGAAGAGTTGACATTAAGAAAGTGCGGTCATGTGGTGCAGGGAAGGCATATTTTTTTAGCCAACATAGAGTGTGAAAAAAGCTCCATTTAATTTTATTTTTATTATCTTGATATGCTGAGTGGAAGACTGAAAATCTGAATGGAAATCATGAGGCAGCATTTAACTGTGAAACAATCAAGCACTGTAACAGTGATATATTTATGGAGTATGGAAGCATTGTTATGGGATAATAGGGCTACTGAGGCTGGTGGTAGAGGGCTACTACACACTGTTCAACCTCAATGAGGAGCTTTCTGCCTCCACAAACCCCCAGAGAACTATTACTGAGGAAGCAAGCAGCACATTGTGAACTATAGTAAAGTTATCACAGTATCACCACTGCTGTCTGGATCTCCCACACAAAAAGGGATTTCCTCTTTTCCCTTTCTCCTTTATTTTCTCAGTTTATTACCTTTTTGTCTTTCTGGTCTTTCTTTTGTTAGTATTATACCAGAGATTACAGCAAGTATTTCAAAATGAGACTACACCAGTTTTATGATCAGACATTTGCAACTTTCAGGAACCTGGCAGACTCTGATATCCCATAAGAAATTATCAGTAGGTTAGAAATCCATTGTTAGGAACTGATTTTGTGTATAGTATGTATAGTAAATGTGTGGTGGTCTGGGAATACCCATCATATGTTGCTATGGCTGAAGTCTGGAAATCAAAAATTATTTGGATTTTGATCAAAACATAGTTTATCTTCCAGTACTATACTTTGACATCTCTACTTTAAGAAAACATAAATATATTGTACCAAAACATGGAAATGTTTATATTTAGGTTGCTTTTTAAGCTTTCCTTGGCTTTCTGCCTGCTCAACAAATGCAGCAGTAAGTGTAGTCAGTCTGACTGAAGTAGCTAGCTAAGTATGATTTCATGATTTGATCAAGCTTTTGGATAGCTCCATGATATGAAACAGACATAATATTAATCAATTCAGATACCAGCTGTCAAAATGCCCATGCTGCTCCTGCACCATCACAACATCATCAAAACAGAGAACAGCACTTACGAACTCTGTACAGACAACTGTGTGCAAAGTTTTAAAATGTTTAAATGGTTAAAACAAATTATAAAACGAATTTATTCAACAGAACAGATTGAATTAGTCAGCAGTTATTTTTCCACCAATGTTAGAGTGATCAAAGATCAGTTGAGTGAAGAGATGAGGCTTGTGATTAATTGCTGCAAGTGACCTCAGATTTTGAGATTTTGGTGTTGATGTGGAAAATGAAAATTTATAATTCATTAAAAAAATTGCATAAGTGTCACTTTTCCACAAGTAAATTGGGGTGAAAATGTAGAGGTAGGACAGATTTCAGTGAGGTTGGAATGAAATCTTTGTGGATAGCCAGATGTTAAAAATGCTAGAAGATTATTTGTGGTTGAGATCCATGCAGAAAAGAAAAATCTCAGTATAGGAAAACATAGTTTTTAGTACTATAGTAACAGATGTCAACATTTTATCATGTGAAGGGTTTTCCCAAGCTGTCACATATATCTAGGATAGGATACAGCAGCTGTAGCTTGGTAAGTACAACAAGAAGCAATTTGTATTTAAAGGCAGAGAGCAGTCACTCACAATGAAGGGGAATACAACCAGATGAGCGCTCATAATATTACATCGCAACAACAGTCACTCAATAAGTATAAAGACCTCTCTTTATTCAACAGTGGCACTGTCTTGCATACATATATAAGAATTCATGCATTCACAATATTGAAATTGGAAAAGAGGGTTAAGGAAAATGAATATTTTGTAACTACTTGTCTATGCTTTAGGCAAGATCACATACAGAATAATGCACATAGAGACAAAAATATTAAAACCTCCCTTTCTTTCAGAAAAGAAAAACTAAAGTTTCAAGGATGTAGCTTCTCAAGCCAGCATACTAACACTAGTGCTACTGTGTTAGCATGCAGAGGATCTAACAAGAAAAACATTTCCCAGTTACTGGTTCTATTTAGGTGTAACAGCATCATGCAGCTCTGCAGGTGGTTGCAAGGCTCAAAGATTTTCTCCTACAGAAACTGAATCAGTTCCAGTTTTCCACAAGAGGAGAGTTTTTACAACTCATTGCTGGCTCCCATGTTTAAAGTTATACATAAAATCATCATTCATTTATACTTTTTCACTTGTGTCTGGAAGGTGTAATAAGGTAATTTTAAAATTCAGCCAGTTCGAAAATCAGCTAATTCCTGAAGCCTCTATAATATGTTTTCGAAACCACCTTCCTAGGGGATGATACAGTGTAATCAACATGGTCTCACCCTAGCAAAAAATGTGCAAAAATGGCCCAAATCCTTTAGCATTCATACCTTACAAATTAAATTATGTAATAAATTATGTATTAAATCAAACAAAATCCAATTTTCTCATTCAAACTCAGCTTTTTTTTAATGAGATCAGTGTTAGTCTGATATAAGAGAATGCAATCACTGTACAGGGTGTTTGGACTTTTAGACCCTCAGCTGTTATAGATCAAGTTAGATGCTATGTTTACAAGCAAATATTTTTATCAATCTGAATGTGTTCATTCTGACTGCAAATTCTGAATTCTGTTTATATGCTGAATAAACTTAGAAAAAAAAAATGGTTTGTGAATTTTCACAATTTACAAGACTGGTAGATGGTAAATGCAAGTAATCTGTATCAGTCCAAATCATGAGACAATGATGTAGTAAAAAAATAAATAAAATGAACTAACAAACACATAAATACAGATTTTGTTCCCTACATGACATTGTGCTTCTTTTTTACCCAGTAAGCATTGTGATGTGAATAATGTTGTTCCTCTTTCAGCTGCTCCCATTAGGGGTCACCATTGTGGATCACTGGTCCATGTATTTGATTTTGGCACAGTTTTTATGCTGGATGCCCTTCCTGATGCAACCCTCCCCAATTTTATCCAGGCTTGGGACCAGCACTGAGAGCACACTGTTGCATGTAACCCCAGTGGCTGGGAATTGAACCCAGGTCGCAGTAGTGAGAGAACTGTGGCCTAACCACTAGACCCCCAGGGACCCAGATGGGTGTGAATGCAGCTTGATAATTATTCTTGTACCTAGTAAATTATTAAATTATTAAACTGACCAGGATGGCCACCATACACCCAAGACTCCAGGCCTCTCTACTCCAAAGGGAACAGAGCCATTAAAGATAAGGCTGTCTCTCCAGGAAGGGGATGGGACAGAAAGTCATCCAAACCTCTGGTGTCAGGAAACACTTTTCTATCAAACAAATCAAATCTAAAATTTGCTCAGGATATTCATAATCTCTTTTTTTCATATTCTGTGTTGTTCAATAACTAGGTTTTGTGTCATATGCATTGTAAAATCAGAAGTTGTAAATTCAGAAGTTCTTAGAAGTTTGGAGTGGGTTCCATGAATGCATAACATAACCGGTTCATGATCTAGCCATTTTATGACCATGCAAAAAGTTGTCCAAAAGTGCAGTCCTTGAAGGGGTGTGAATTGGAATTCCACAGGACTTGCTTTGAACAACAACAACAATGACTAATCAGCACCACTGAATACGGAGAGGCAGAAACCCTGACCACCTCATCACACCTTAGTATAAAGTTCAGAAACTCACAAACATCTGTGAGGTGGGCATTAGGTTTCTATCCACCTGGCTGTCCAATCATCAACTTCAGAGTACTGTTTTCAACTCTTAATTCTCTTAACTCTTAATTCCTGCCTTGATCTCAGCCACGTCTTCACCATTGCAAGACACAGACGCAGGATAACTTCAGACCATTAGTGAAGATAGTAAATGTGCATAGTGAGTCAAAAAGGTCTTGTCCACGATCTCTGGACCCGCTGACACAACTAAGGCTACGGCTGGAACTTTGGCACGATTCCCACTGAAAACTGTCCACACAGCATCATAAGCCTTCCTCCACGATCCCTGGAGAAGCAGATGCAACGCTATGGCTAGACGTTCGGCAAGCTGTCTGCTGAACTGTTTCACACTGAGCACACTGTTTCTGCGATCCTCCACTGATGCAACGGCTGACTACACTGAAGTCACTACACAGATCAGAAGTGAAGAAGTGGTGCCCTGTTTAATAGAGTTGTTAGTATGAAAAATAATAATAATTTCTAATATTTAATTTAATAGTAATAATTTACCCATCTACATACACATCTTATCCTTATATAAGACCTCTCATTCAATGTTTATAGAGCCATTATAAAGGAAAATAAAGCTTAGAAGGAAGTAGCAGAGATTAGTGTCTCTGGACAATGTTTGTAGCTAGTACAGTTAGCTTGCGCTGCTAACATGCTAATAGCTAATACGAAGCCTGGCCCATAACATGTAAATCAAACCACCAATTTTCATACTTATGAGTGCATTATTTTATATTTTATATTTTATTGTTTTGACCTAGTTAGAAGATTTTTTTACTTTATTAAAATATTGGAATACATTTTAGATACATTTTTTAAATGAAGTATTATACTATAGTAAAGTGTGTGCTGTAAGCTATACATGACTGATTCTCCTTCTCATCTGAAATAAAATAGTACACGGAGGGTACATGGCCAGAAGTGACAACATTAGCGCTGGCTCCGCACCCACAAGAGACAAGCTACAAGCGACATGTGTCGCTTGCTAGTGTGAATGCGGGGTATGCAGAAAAGCTTTAACACCACACACACACACACACACACACACACACACAGATTTTATAGGCCAAATGTCTTCTTGTGCCCTCATCTGCTCCTGCTGACTGTGGGCTTTAGCAATGAGGTACAGTTTCAGTGCAATACCATTACTCACATATCATACGACCTTGATATCCTGCGCAGCTGCTCTCCTCTTGAAGTTAGGAAGTGAGTGCCGTAGCTGGGGGGAAAGGGAGAGAGAGAAAATTGTGCACAGAGAACAAACACTAGTACATGCTGATGTCAGCAGTATCAAAAGATGAGACATGCAGGAAACTTTCTTGAAAAACATCCCTATCTGCACTTCATCTCTCCGTCTTTCTCTCATTGCTTTCTTCTTCTTGATCTGTGACTTTCTCCTTGTACAGTCTTCTCTTTTTACTCTCACCTCAGACGTGACATAGCATGGCATTGAAAAAAGACTGTCAGCATGTCTCCTTCTGAAAACTAGTTTCAAATTAGAGCTTCCTGCTTACAAGGTGAGTCAAATTCTTTGTGATGATAAGTTAGTTCATGTATTGCGTTAATCTATTTATAACATATTAATACATTATTTATTACATAGTAGTAAGCATGTAAATGCTCTGTAATAGCACAATTATTTTACTGCAGGCGGTCAAGATTGCATTTATTGATAAAGGAAATAGACTGATTTGAGGCACACATGTCAAACCTTTGCTTTAAGTATGAAATTTTTTTTATTTTACTTCTTTCCTACCTGAGAGGAACTTTACATGTTTTGCCAATTCTACGACTTTGGCAGATGTGAAGAGATAATGAAGGATAGTAGTGTCCACAAAGTGAAAGAAAAGGGTTTTCTTTTTGGTCTGCTATATCAACACCTCTATATTCTATTAGAAAAATTTATGACAGTGGATTGTCATACTACTATTCTGTTCTGGCTGGTGTAGAAGCAGAAGAGCACAGAGCAGATGGAAATAGGTAGTAATTGTATAATAAATGCCTTCACATAGCAACTAAAATTGAATATGGTTATTTTTAAGCTTCACAATGGCAATTCACAATGCCATTTATTCAAGGATTGATCATTACAGGCTCAAGTTCAACCAATGTATTTCTATCCAGCTTTAACAAAACTTAAGAATTTAATGTCCTTGTCATTAAAAAAAATACCACACTCTCTTTCTTCCATTCAGGATTTCAACAGGCTACAGCATGCTTCTCCACTATTTTCATTGGTTGATCTGTTGAAAAATAGCCTCAACTTTCACAATAATTTGTTTGCAGGGTGAAGTAACAGAAAAGCACAGCCAGTGGTGGCTCAGTGGTGGCTTAAGGCTCTTGGATACTGACTGGAAGGTTGTGAGTTCAAATCCTGATACTGCCAAGCTACCATTGTTTGACAGTTAATCTGCTGAACTCACTTGTAAGTCGCATTGTATAAATGCATCTGCCAAAGGAATAAATGTATGTCACCAAAGAAAACTGCTTTTTTAATTGAGATTTTTCAGTGTTGTATTAGGAACAATATTATATACAAAAAATCAGAAGATACTTTTAGCTTACAGGTAATTTGGTACACTAGTAATTCCACTCACAAATATTGTAATAATCATTGTTAACAGATTGCTCTAGAATGGACCATATTTTTTTTTCTTTAGCACAACATGACTTCTCACCAAGTGAATTATGCTGAAAAATCTGAATTTAGTCGCAATCAGCCACAATTGTAAAGCAACAGATGTCAACAATTACTGCATGGATGAAAAATAACAGAAGAATGAACTTACATTTGCTGTTGCTTCCTGGAGAGGATTTCAGGCAGATCCAATGGCATCCATTTGCTGTCTTTAAACAAAGGCGCTCTTCAAAAAAGTATATGTGGCAGCGGCAAACAAGGAAAGAAAAAATACAGCAACTGACATAGACTGTAATGAATAGCACAGAAATGTGGAAAGTTTAGTTTAAAAACCCAATCAGACTAAAATTTTTAGGTATTTGCCAACAGATTTGAAAACAGGAAATATGTCAGTGGTACTCCAATTTATCATCACTACAAGTACAGACCTCCATGCTCTAAAAACAATTTGAAATGGCATGAGGAGTATTAATAGTGTCATTTTTCTATAAAACACACAAAACACCCTAACAAACCATTTTGATTCATGTAAAATTGCAAAATTACTGAATAATATACTTTAAGAAAATTGAATTTTAATCTCAGAGTTTTCAGATCTTTAGTTTAACACCTATGAATCAGTGAGGGTAATTATGTAGATGTTCCTCCCTTGAAGGCTCAGACAAATGACGGTGCATAAACAGACAATAAACATAATGCCAATAACCAATAGAATCTCAGTAAACTGTTAATCTTTATGCATGGATCATTCCGCATTACCATTTAGCCATAGCATTTTTGATTTTTGACCTTGCTATACAGAGCACACCTGACAACTATGCGCTTCTACATTTTCAGATAGACTCAACACAAATAGAGTTCATTTATTTTATATTATTATAACACAAATAAAGTTCATTAAAGTTCATGCTTTTTGCTGACTTTATCCAGGGGAACTTTGACCTGTGAATTCACAAGCCTTGTGAGCCAGTCGAAAACAAGTAGGCAGGACTGTGGTCAGGACTCTTTGTCCAGTTAAAAAAATATGGAGCTGCTAATTATTAAGTGTAGCGCCAACACCAAACTTTTGCCTCACTGCTCACTGTTTTCTTACGGTTGGTGGACATCTACAAAAAAATGCAGCTAACATTACCCCTGCATGTAGCTGAGTTTGAAAAATTGAAATTAGTTAACTGTATGAAAAAAGGTGGGATGTGCTTTTTGATGTTTGGTGTTTAGTAATAGAAGTGTAATACAATAAAAGAAAATGTTGTTTGCTACTCAGATCTACAAAAAAGTCAGTTAATCAACAGTAAATATTGTTTACTGTAGCTGTAGACAGTTTCAGTGAACCAGACTGCAGAGTGGATATGCACTTTTGTTAATTTTGTAACAGTTGTGTGAACTAAGCTTATACACTCAGCTAATTGCTTATATGTAAATCTAAGCATTTCTGCATATTGCAGTTAAATATCAGTTCAGCCAAGATATTTTATCATTTACAGTATGCTGCTCATCACATTCACTGACATATGATTTTTCTAGTACAATTCTGTTGCTTCTTTTCCTCTGCCTTAGAGATGTTGGCAGCTCTGCATTATGTCAACTAAGGAGACGTGTACATTGCCTATATAGCATTTTATTTTAGGAACTGAGATTTCCAATGATTTGGTTCATTATGGAGAGATTTAAAAACACCCCTTGATCCTCTACCTGAAAACATTAAAGTTACAATTAAAATTTATGCCAAACTGTGTTAAGGGAGTTTGGGAT